AGTTGAGGATAACGTTCCACCCATTTTAAATATGACTTCCATATGATAGCGACAGGTTCATTGTTTCGAAGGCAGATATCCGTTAATAGTTCCTCTAGTCTCTCAAGTGCTTTATTGGATTTGGTAAGTTTTTGCACCGTATAACTTCTAAAAAGTAGTTACCGTGTTCCTCGGACCATAGACTGCACCCACTGCATAGCCCGTAAAAACAAATTTTGGCTGAAAAAAAAATGTATTTCCTTAGATACTTAGGTGAATAGTCTGCAACTAGTGCACACTTTGTAAGTTAAAAATTCTCATGCACACCACACCTTGGAAAATGTCCGCTTTGTTAGCTCACAAGGAAGCTTGTATTACGGGGAAAAACTTGACCACAAGTATGAAACTTTTTGTGCAGTTTCAGACCATTGAGCGCTTCTTATAACATAACTAAAGACTAAAAAGAAAAAAATAAACTCTATCACTTTCGGAACAAACCCACACAAATTGCTGGGTCGGGCTTTTATAGATATGAATCTCACCAACTGTAAACAAATAGGTGCAAAAGAAAACATCGCTGCACACACACATTTGCCTCACAGGGAAGTATGAAATAACTTGAAGCACTTCCTCTTGCCTGTGAGACCAAAGGTAAACGTTGCATTTTTCGCAATGTGTCCGCGACCGTGAGTTGCATCCCGACAGCCTGCATATTCGGGGAGTTTTCAGGGTGCTCACGGTGGGCCTGTGCTCAAACGAATTTAGACGCTTATCTTCACCGGGAAGCTTTGCCACCTTGTTAGGCTGTTGAGTCTGGCCATTTGAAAGGTCATCCTCTTCCGCGGCTTCGCTTCTTTTTTTTGTGTGTGTGTTGAGCGGAGAGCTTCAGCGCCTGCCAGGCGGAAGTCCAGAAGGTCTATGGTGTCTCGTCGTGGCACAGCATTTGCCCTGCAGGCGTCTCTGTATTCCATCCAGCAGTTGAAAACAGAGAAGTCGATCATGTGTAGGCTGGCCTTTGAAGTCCATTTCCATGTCTTGATTACGATCCTGTAATATTCTAACAGCTGATCACAACTGTCGGCGTCTCCCATGCACGCATTGTACCTCAGAACAATAGCCGGTGCTGGCACGTCGATGTACTTCTCCTGTTTTGACCAGCGCTAGAGAGGTTCAACAGCATCGGCCCCAGTAGAAGTTGATGTAAGGGTCACGCCTCTGCTGTCCTTTCACTTGACTACAACACCATTTCCATCGCCACGGGTGTACTCCTAGTATTCTCCCAGCTTCAGGGTGTTGTCACTTTGAAACCAGATGTTCATAACACGGTTTTCTATTACTGTTCCTGTTCCTGCAATGTCCCTCTTGAGCAGCTCATTCAAGAGAGGAATTGTTGTAAAGTACCTGTAAAGGAAGATGACGGACTTTTCCGGCAGGGTTTTCGCAAGTCTTAAAACAACATTAGAACCAAGGCCAAGTGCTGTGTCAGCAAGGGGGGGTTGATTTCCCTCGATATATCTCAAAGTACATCGCTAGGCTCTCGGAATTGGTCCGGACAAATTTTTTTAAGTCCCACAGGCCGTGGTTTTCCTTTATTGCAGAGAGGACCGTCCTATGAAAGGTATCATCAGTTCAATGGAATACAAAGAAGGTCTCCTCTTCAGCTCATGGCAACGTTTTCTGACAGTATCGATTATTAGCTGCACTTTCCAGAGTTTGTTCTCGTCTGACACTGCAGGTGGCCCCTCCGTGTCAGCAAGGTAGCGGCATGTTCTCAGCGTTTTGAACTCTACACGTGCCATGCTGCTCACAAGCTCAAGCTGAGGCCGCCTTCGTTAGTACATCTGTATCTGCGGAATACGGATGCAACCCATGATAATGTGCATGCCCAACAGTTGTTTGATCTTCTGCAGAGTCACATTCAAGACCTTTTCCGTCTCAGACAAGTGATACATACTCCTATTTTCAGCGGCGTTCTCGAAAAACTTGTTGTCGAAATATCGCACAAAGTAGCTCAATGGCGTGCCATTAGCAGGGGGCTCATGGTCTCCTTCACTTGCTCGAAGCGGATGCGACTTCTCGGTGAAGGTCTTCTTTTTCCATAAACCGTTTCTGGCCTTTTTCTTCAATGTGGCATTTAACGATGAAGGGGGGGGGGGGGGGGGGGGGGGGGGGACAGAACCCTTTCGACGTTGAAGGAACCGAAGCAGTTTCCTCCTTTTCCTCCTCATCATCACTGCTTTTAGCATCTAGAGCATGTAGCTAGCTGCCAATCGGGGGCGTCGTCATCTCTGCTGCACCACTCGATGTCTGACGACTCGAGAATGTTGAGAATTTCCTCCAGGTCAGCATCGCGTTCAGGACTTAATATTTCTAGAAATAAAATAAAATACATCTAAGTAACAAGCATTTTTTCATGGCGACGTTGCATGGTGTTTTTCTCATTCTCCATACCCACCCCGCATAAATGTGTGGGTGGCTGTTTTGACCGTGCCTGGCACCTTATTGTGATATTGATAGGGCTTGTTGTGTGCCGAATGCTCTTTAGCGAGTTTCAGGATTGCTTCCCAATTCCTAGTTTTGAAAATGAACACAAAAAAAGAAAGCAAAATGATGCACTTACTTCTCGAAGGCGGCCGGCGCGCGTCTTTCGGGGAAAGCGCCATTTTGGAAGGGCTGCAACTAGCCCCCTTGCGGAAAAATGCACAAACTACTCGTTTTAATTTATTCCATGCACCCGGACGAACGTGCTGGCTGGGTCGGAAGAGCTATATAGGAGCGGAGAGTGACTGCGGGTTTTTGATCTTAAATGCGGAACGAAAGTTTGTCTGCTTCTTTTGCAGGGGTTGTCGTGACGTCAGAAAGACATCGAGCCCTGATTGGCTCTGCTTGGAGGATAGTGGGTAGACCTCAAAGCAAGCAGTATCGAGGTCTACCCAGAGCCAATCAGAGCTCGCCGTCTTTCTGACGTCACCAAAACCCCTGCAAAAGAAGCAGACGAACTTGCGCTTCGCATAGCCTGTCTGCTCTCGCAGCAAAATGGAAATTGCGGCTCTATATTGACAAGCGGCAATTTATGTAGGCCTTTTCATCGCTCATCACCCCCAGGAAAAAAAATGCTGAGTCACTGAGCTTTGTAAACGCGGACATACCCGCAACAGACCTATACAGCACATATATGATCAGAAGGCGTTCCACAGACACCAGACAAAATTTTTTTTTCTTTTGAAAGGTGTTTGTATACAAGACGCCGGACAACGGTGCAAGCTTTATAATTAGTTGTGTATCAATAATGAAACATTCTTATCTTAACGCCGATTCTCAAGTCTGTTTAGCAGAATACTTTTTTTTTTTTTTTTCAGGTCGCGGATATCAAGAAGGCAATAGCCGCGGTAAACGAATATCTGGACAAGGTGAGTTGAAAGGAAAGTTGCTTCGAATTTTTAACACTCTTCCTTCAACGGTGACTGGTCTTTCGTGAGCATTACCGTCACCGACGCTTCAAGAAATGGTGGCGTCGCTCTCCGCCAGGGCATTTCTTATCGGCGCTCATTATCGGCTCATCTCATCGACTTCGGAGCCATAAAAGGATTCCCAGAACTTTCCATATCCCAAAGTTTCTTAAGTTGTCGGTGCCTATGGACACTCCGTACTTTCTGCGGTTCTAAACCAATCAGTTAATACGAATCGAGCAGATCGGAACTTTGGCATCGCAGCTGGAATCGATAACTTCTGAAAAAGGTTAAAAGAAAAAAAAAAGAGAAATTACGAGCAACTTTTATTTTCAATGTCTTGAAATGCATATAATTACTTGTTTAAGAAGCAATAATTACAATCTTGTCAGATGCTGCGAAACAGACTTTTCGGAGAGTAAAGGAGAACGTCTAACGCTTATTCGTTTCCCCGTTAAATTTAGCGGGGAAATCGGCGTCACGGTGTCAGGTCGCAGGTCGTGGTCGTGTGAACTATAACGCCGTCGCGTAGCATCATTTTCTTCCCGCTAATTTTGGCGGGAAACTTGACGTCGCAGCTTCAAGTTGAAGCGTAACGGGATGCCACGACGTCACGCGATGCCGATTTCGCCGCTAAAGTTAGCGGGCAATTGACGCCAGGTAATCGCGCGACGTCAAGGGGTTCAAGTCGCGCTGTACGTACTGGCCCCGACTACGGGGGATGTCATTTTTCCCAACTAAATTCAACCGTAACGTGACGCGAGCTGGTCACGCGATAGACGATCCGCGGATGAAAAATCGCGATTCGGTCCGTCGTGTGAATATGTCGTAAGCCGCTATAACACCGGCAATATATTATACAAAAAAAAAAAAACAGTCTGCAAACAATGTCTGAGGCGTGTCTTGTTGTCTCTTGTTTTTTTATGTTTTTTTTACACAGAAACCACCCGAATCCAGCGACCCTGAGGAGAAACGGAACTACCACAAAGGGGTACAACTTTATTTTCGAACTTTGTCGACGCGCCATATACGTTTGTTCTTTGGGGATACCTCGGTAATACTCACTCACGAGTGCACTCGCGCATAGCTCACTCACCCTTACTCTCAGACGCGAGTTGAGAGTGAGTTCGTAGGCCTCGAAGACTCGCAAGTTTGAGGTAGAGTGAGGGACGTGCATGAGGTCAATGAGGGGCTTGAGTTCGGCCAGTTTCCAAGTCCGACGAGGGGCTCGATTTCGCGAGTAATTTCGGTGAACGGCGTGAGTTCGTGTGCTCGGCAAGTTCGTAAGTTCGGTGTAGGAGCGCGAGTTCCTTCGGTTGAGTTCACGAGTTCTTGAGTGCGGTTGAGATGAGTGTGAGAGTGAGCGAGCTTTGAGCTCGTTTCTAGTTGTGTATGTAAGAGTAAAGGAATGATTTTTTGAGGCTTTTGTCAGTGAATAAGTTCAACTTAACATGCCGATCCGTATTAAGACTGAGTTTTTTTGTTGTTGTTGTTGTTTTCCTCTCTGTTACTTTGGCATGTTTTCTTTGGTCCACTAATGCGACACGCGCGGTCTTCCAGGTCGAAAGCCTCCGGGATGAACTGCGCCAGATAGACGCGGAGCTGCAAAAGGTGATTCCTTCAAAATATTGCGAGCTCTGATGTCGCCAGGGGTCGGGACAGTCGTCTATTTCACCCTAAGCCCGACCGCAACCATACGCTACGACCCGACACGGCCGATGAAGCTGCGCCAAAAGCGTATATCGTCTCGGCGCTCGTCGATCTCTTGTGCGTTAACGATTCTCTCTTGTGAGTTAACTATCATCGATCCGTTGCGGTGGCATAAGTGGTCGGACTCGACATGTGAAACGGTGCAGAGTGTGCCTAGATTTAAGAGTCTTTGCAACCGCTCGATCGGGGTTGATTAGCCGGTCTGTGTGTGAACCACGCCTTTACGAAATGGTTGCTCACACGCATACGCGTGAGCAACCAATCTGTGCGGAAAAAAATGTTCGTTATTAAATTACAAAAAAAAAAAAAAAAAAGCTCTCCCTGGTTTGAGTCGGTCCATCTCTTCAATCTAAGTGTTCTATACTGCGGAACCAGCGAGTCTATGCGGAAAGCAAGGCGTCTGCTTCTTCCGGAGGAGTTGTCGTGACGTCAGAACGACAAGCAAGCAAAAAGAGCCGAAAAAATACAGGGACACAGACGAAGGGAAACAGGACAAGGCGCTTCCCTTTGTCTGTGTTCCTGTATTTTTTCGGCGCTTTTTGCTTGCAATGAACCAACTGGTCCAAATCTCCACTTTACGTCAGAACGACGCTGAGCTCTGCTTGGTTCCGAATGAAGCACAGTGGGTAGACCTCAAAGAAAGCTTCTTTGAGGTCTACCCACTGTCCTTCATTCGGAACCAAGCAGAGCTCGGCATTCGGACGTCACCACAACCCCTGCAAAAGATGCAGAATAACTTGCGCTCCACAAAACTTTTAAGATTCCGATTACGGAGAGCGCTTGGAATTTAATGGCGGGCCATGGCGCAGCTCGGTACTTTATGCGCATGCGCGTTGCCGCGAGGCGAGCGGGAAGATAGCGGGCGAAGGAACCGAGTGAAGGAGGCTTGTACGCAAGTAGCGCGCAAGTAACGCAAGTAGCGCGTTACTTATAGTACCTAGCTTCTTTTTTTTTTTTTTTTCTGTAACAAAGTAATGACCTAGTTCCTTTCCTAGAGGGAACGTGTAACGTATTTTTGTTGCTTTTTCACGTGGTAACCCATGACGGTGTTTAGTCACTTCTGGAGCGGAACGTGTACAATACAAGCAAATACTTCAAGGGAAATACCGGACATTCTTCTCAGTTGCATTAGGCAGAACGACGGCCGCGCACAGGGCCTCCCCTGGTTGAGTGGTTTATTTGGCAACGCCTCTTCCCCCCCTCCCTCCCCCCTTCCTCTCGCTGCCATAGCACGTGACCAGGCGAAGCCCATGGAAGGCGGTGCGGTTGACGGGGTCGCGGATTCGAAGACGGCGCCGCTGCAGCCGTCACGCGTGTTTCCGCGGTTCTTGGTTGTCGTCTTTTCCCATGTACTTTCGGAAAGTATTCTTCCTATTGGCGAGGAGATCGAACTATAGGGGGCGCACTTTCATTATCACCATCGTCATCACCAGAAACAATCGCGGTGTGCCAAACAACTCGGACGCCAGCACTCGCCTAGCGTACGCGGCATCGTTTCCACGCTCGCTGCATATTTGTTGGTAGCGAAGATGGTGCGCACTCTCTGCGTACCCCAGTACCCGAAGCATGCTTTCGAACCGGGTATATATACAGCGCGGAGGATTGCAGCACGTACGCGACGGTACGGACACTGTCCGCCGTCGGCTCTGGTGCAACGCTGCACTCGATGACGTGATCGCAGTAGAGCAGGCGTCCTCTCCTTCAACGAGACATGGCTTGCTTTCGCCGATGTCGCCCATGACTGTCGCAAGAGACAGGGTAACTGAAAAGTGATGTGCGTGTTTCGCGAATAATTCTGAAAAACACGGACGCCGCACCGGCCACGCAGGATCCAGGGCGCGCGGCAGACTCGATGCGGCTGGCCCGACACCTGCGCGCGGGGGTGTTTAGAGGGCGGGGTCAGCATATCATATGTTGAAGAACCCCCACCCACCCCCTTTCCCGGTTTCTCCGCTCTAAATTTTTACACGTACTAAATTCAACAGGATATCCCGGACCCGTCCTCTTAATCCTCCACTACCACGCATGCGGTTGTTTTGCCATTCACGAGGACTTCGATGACATTGAACGCAAGAGAGGCTAGACTGACTTTATCTAGATGCATTTAGGAGAAAAGAACAGCGTTATATAACATTACCGAGCCTCGTGTCGTCGTCTTTTATGGCAGCGAATGCAGTAATGACCAACGTTCTAATAACTGCGGTCGACGGGTTTGTTTTGCCACACAGCGTTAGTTTCGGATTTGGCCGTATAGGGATCTGGGAGTGGGGCACTCCCAGATCTCCTCCCCAATAGTCGGCGACAGGTTTAGAGTTCAGGGCGAGGGAAAGGAAGGCTGGGGAGAAGAAAGCAGGCGGAATACTGGGGGGAGGAGGATGTTTCCTCCTACCCTCTCCAGCAATTCATCTGCTTCCTCCTCCCAGCCTTTCTTTCCCTCGCCCTTTAACGCGTCATCAACTATAGTAAAGTATTTGATGCAAGTATAGGTCGAGAAACTGAGGGAGAGGAGGAGAGACAAGAGCGAGCGGGAACGTGAGAACACCGAGTTCTGATTGGAACGATTAGTGGGTAGACCTAGTGCCACTAAATAAGCTACGCTTCAGAGTAACGACACTTGGCCATTTTGTGTCGTAAAATCATGGTTGCCAGTTATCTGAAGCTTTATCTGAAATCACAGGAAACACTTTTCCGCTCTCTACAAATGTTTCAACAGTTCGTGACAGAGGAAAGCAATATTGCATGAGGTTCCTAACACCGAATCTAATGCTGAGGAAGTCGCACTTTTGAATCATGACGATCGGCAGTTGCGTCTGCTCTGCATACGAGCCAAAATGGCGGCGCCCACAAGAATGCCGGGGAACGGAGTGCCGATACTCTAAGCGCAGCTCATTCAGTGGCTCTAGGTAGACCTAAAGCTATAGCAGCCTTTGTCTCTACTGCACTCGTTGAACGCGTTCGAATACGAGAGCCAAACACCGGACGCCGGCGTCCTGCGTTTTAAAGCGTTCGATGAGCGCAGTGGAGACAAAGGCATCTATAGCTTTAAGTCTACCCACTAATCATTCCAATCAGAACACGGTGTTCTGAAGTACCCTCTTCGGTAACGAGTAGCCTTGCTTTGTTACTTTTTGAGTGAGTAACGAGTAAGGAAGTTTAGTTGCTTAATTTCAGTAACGTGTATAGTACATGTTCTGGAGCAAAGTTTACGCTCGCGGGCGATGGACGCTTTTTTCGCCACGATCCTCGCAGCTTGTTATCGCAAACGCAGCCCCTAAACCGTACACATGAACCCAATCGAGCAGTCGGAAATACTAAGGAGTTTTAGTAGACCGTGTTTCCCCTCCGCTACGAAGAAACCGCCTCTGCGCCTGCGTGCCGATGGCCATGGCTGTAGAGTTCCGGGTAGGGGAGTGGCTTAGCGGAGGGAGAAACGCGGTCTACTAAAACTCGCTACTCTCAAAACGCCCGGGGAACACTACAGCGGACGAGGATAGAACGGCGCCCCCCTGTGCCAACGGTATTCACGTGTTTATATTTGCCACAGGCCAAGTACGATCCCGACGAGCTGGAAAAAATCAGGCACCACCTGAAAGAAGTGAGTTGGATCAAAGTTTCGAACAAACGGCTTATGATGTCATGGTGATTTTGTAATTCGTGTATTCCTCAAATCGGGGGCGAGAGAGGAGGTTTGGGTCGCTTACAAATGAGGAAACGCAGAAAACCCAAACATCTTATTTTGGCATTGCTGCATTGACATCGCTGCATTAGCAAATAAAAAGAAAGAAAACGCCGCAGTACGAACTACGAAGCGAGAAGCGCGAATAAAACAAGTGTCTCCCAGTGTTTCTTAAGGTTAAGACGGTATACTTTCATTGAAGTCATACAAAATTATTTTTTTATAAATTTGTTTTCAAAGATTGTAAGTTTTGCATTCTTTCCGCGAGTAACGCCGGCCTACATCGGACACTGCACTAAAAATTCTACGGCTGGGCAATTGTGTTCCATACGTGAAACGTTCTCGCATCACATGACACGGGTCACGTGATGTTAATCCTCCCGCTAAATTTAGAGGTGAAACTAAGTTGCCGTATAGGTCACGTGACGTCAACTTTCCCGCTAAACTCAGGGGGATGAGGGAGCCTGAATTGGTGTGTAGCTCACGAGACGTTAATTTTCCCGCTATATTCAGCGGGGAAATAGACATCACGTGACCTGATGTCTCGTGACTCATGCACCAGTTCAACTTCCCCGCTAAATTTAGAGGAAAAACTGAATTGGTGCGTAGATCTCTGACGTCCCCATAATGCAACACTGCGCGCGTTGCATTATGGGACGTCACAGGCCACGGCTTCACGAAATTCGGAGCAACCAGCCAAAGAACGTTTTGCGCTAGACATCCCCATCCCATTACACAATGATGTCGTCTATTCCCCATCCCATTACACTGATATCGTCTAACAAGTTAAGTGGTGTAGTAATCATCGACAACTAAAGAAACATAGGGCATGGCTTAGTATGTTCGCGCTCTTTGCTTCGCGATTCCATTCGGCCAATGCCGAAACCTCATTGGCTGAAGTGCGATGTACTAAGATACTCGTGCAACACCACGGCCTTCGCTTCTCAAGCTGCCAGGGACGATACTTTCCCACAAAGCACACAGAAGAGCCAGTCGCGGCCACCAATGGAGGGATCTCGGCGAACGACAAAAATGAAAATATTGTCGCGGATGAAAAACAAAAATGATATAGACAAACGTAAAACTAAAATGAAACGCTTCATCGGCGAACTCGTACCAGAAACTATAAGGAAGAACGAGCGTCGAGAAAGTAGCGGCGAGCGTCGAAGTGTCGGCGTCACAGCTGGCCAGCGCGAGAGTGTAGAGTGTAGCAGACGCGGTATCTCGAACATTCAGTCCTAGAATGTTCGAGCTTCGAACTATAGGGCCAGACTGACTCGGCAAGGCCACGCTGGCTTCCGTATCTTTTGCGCTCGTTATCTCGAACATTCCTCCTAGAAAGGTCCAGCGTCCAACACACGGGGGTAAGAGTAAACGCAAATCTTCAAAAGGTATGGAGTTGCGGTGTATTTACAATAAAACGGGTTACAGAAATCAGCCCGGTTAGAACACGGCTGCATGCTGTCGCTCGGGTAGGCAGTCAGTCAGTTCACGCGATAGCCTCGCGCGCACGCTGCACGTCAAGGCACGAGCACTGCCACACATATAACATTTCCCCCGGCGTAATTGAAGAAACCAAAGGAAAACACACACTGCACACAATACCGAAAACGTTATGAGTCGTATCTGTCTGGAGGACGGCGATGTCTTGTGGGGTAGCGCTGTTGCACAGCGGGATTGTCGGTTGCCCTCTGTGGGGTGGTTGCACACTCACTGACCACACTCTCGTCGGCGCAGTTCTCTGGAACCCTCAGGTCGGGCAAGAATCCGTCTGATGTGGCTTGCATCGAGTTTTCACGACGATGAAGCATCTGGTCTTGGTGACGGCGCCAGATATATATGCCCCGAGCAGTCGTGACTCGAACCTGGTACGACACTGGGCCAGATTGCTTGAGAATTGTGCCGGGAATCCACTTCTGGGAGCCTCTATAGTTCCTCACGAGAACATTGTCGTTAACACTAAAAATCCTTGTTCGTGCCTTTCGCTGCGAGGTCTGGACGAACTGTTGATGTCCTACTCTTCCCCCAACGGAAGGCTTAATGGCATCGAGTCTTGTGCGAAGTCTTCTGCCTAAGAATAAACTGGCAGGTGTTTCCTTTGTCGTCGAGTGAGGGGTATTGCGGTACGTCAGAAGAAACGTTTGTACCGTCAACTCCAGGGAGTCTTGCGGTCGTCCTTTTCGGAGAGCAGACTTTAATGTCTGGACAAACTTCTCCGCGAGGCCATTAGTACTCGGGTGATAGGCCGCGCTCAAGATGTGACGTCCTCCTAGATTCTTAATAAAAGCCTTGAATTCTGTTGAGACGAACTGTGGACCGTTGTCCGTAACAATGGACTAAGGTACACCAAAACGACAAAACAAGTCCTGAAGACGTTGGATCGTGTGCTATGATGTCGTCTTCTCCATCACATAGACCTCGGGCCACTTTGAGTGTGCATCTACGGCGACCAAAAACATCTTCCCCTTGACTGGACCCGCGAAATCCAAATGCACCCTTTGCCAGGGCGATGTCGGCCATGCCCAAGGGTGGAGGGGCGCGGGGACTGGCTCGTTCCGCTGTTGATAGCATTCTTGACATGCTTTCACTTGCTCTTCCAGGTCATTGTCAATTGAAGGCCACCAGATGTAGCTCCTGGCTAATTCCTTGCTTCTGACAATACCTGGATGACCCAGATGTATCTCTTCAAGCAGGAGATAGCGCAGTTTTGGTGGTACGACTACCCGCATGCCATACATCAGACACCCTTGATGCACAGTGAGCTCCAGACGTCTGTCAAAGAAAGGCTTCATTTCCTTGTCAGTGATGGACGATGGCCAGCCCACGTGTGTCAAGTCGAGTACTTTGCTTAACAAAGGGTCGTGGCGTGTGGCACGAGCAATGTCACGGCTGGTGACAGGTAGCGTATCTAGACGCAGAGAATAAAAAGTTTCGTTTCCTTCGGTAGATTCATCTGCCACAATGTCAAGTGGCAATCTTGAGAAGCAGTCTGCTTCAGCGTTGTCACTTGATTTCTTGAACTGAAGCGAGTAGCTGTACGTAGACAGCGTCACTGCCCAGCGCTGCATCCGCGCAGCAGCCATTGCTGGAATGCCTGTTTTCGGGCCGAAAATGGTCTGCAAAGGCTTATGGTCCGTAATCAAGGTGAAGAAACGGCCGTAAATATACACGTGGAATTTTTTAACTCCAAAGATCAGGGCCAGTGCTTCTTTCTCAATCTGACTGTAGTTCTTTTCAGCCTCCGATAAGATATGAGACGCGTAAGCCACAGGTTGAACTGTTCCGTCCGGAGAAACTTGAGAAAGAACGGCGCCTATGCCGTATTGCGATGCGTCACAGGCGAGCTGCAGGGGTCTTTTGGGATCATAATGAACTAAGATCGGTGGGGAAGTCATCGCAGCTTTGATTTTCTGAAAAGCGGACTGGCAAACTTCGTCCCATGTCCATTTTTCTAACAGTAAGAAAGCACAAAACAAACAGAGGGACAAAAACAGACATGTACAAGCTTTCAGTTTACAACAACATATATTTGACGCCAGCGAAGTCTGCACCAACAACCGTCGGTGGGGAAAGGGGGAACGAGCAAGAGGGAGAAAAGAAGGGAGAGAAGGTTGAGAGGGAAGAAAAGGGGGGAGGGAAGGGAAGATAGCGTTTCCGCATACGAAGCTGATTGACGGCCGAAGGCCGAGGGGGGTCTTGTTGTTCAAGGTTGTGCAATAGACCATTTGCAGTCCTCCCAAGCGCCCCGGCGCGCGCGCGAGGAATCTTGGGATCGGTGTTCTGTCGGCCCCCGTCGTCTGGCTGCTCTCCGTTGGAATCGCATCACCTCGCTCTAGACATACTTTTCATCTTCGTTGTTTATACTTAATAATCCTCTTTTTTATCTACTCCAGTGTATTTTTCTTGTTCATAAGTGTATCTATTTCGTTCAGCGCTTTGTATTTCTTCTGTATATTACGTGTTTTTGTGCATATTCCATCGTTTTCGACGCGGCCGTCGACGGACACCACGCCGCTTCGTTCGCCGCTCCCGGGGTGAGTACTGACTGTTGCCGTTACGCTCTATCCCGCTCCTAGGCCGTTCATTTAACTCGTGTGCGGTCGCGAGAGAGCAGTTTCGAACATCACTACAAATGTCACCGCTGTAAGCAGAGAAATAAAGTAGTCATCACGAAGCGAAGGCCGACATGCCTTCGCTTCGTGATGCGCTCGCCCTGTGAAATGTGAGCGTGGGATATCGAGTACTGCTTGCGTGCTCAACATTCGGGACGGTGCTTTGTCGTTGCGATCTTTTTGCCCTTCGGACGCTTGCGAAGCTGTACCAGCGGTCGGCGTGCCTCGGCAGCGCTCGTCAACAACCGTCCGCGCGGCGTCACTTTTCTCGCGTTCGCTGACCGTCCGCGAGCGCCGGTGATTCATCGTCGCGGCTGGTATGCGTATGTAGTACATCGCATAGCTTCACAATCGCTCTTAACAGCGGTTGTGAGTTGAGCGGGCCCTTAGCAAGCGAGTTATGTCAGCAACTGCAACTTTGAAACTGATGGTCACTTCACTTATTTATTTCACTATTCGAGATGTCAGCTGAATGTAGTATCTTCTTAGGTCACCCTCAGAAGCCACATGACGGGCGGTACAACCTGCTGTGTACCGGGCTGTGCCCACACCACTCTCACTGCCAAGCATGTGTCCTGGAATCGCTTTCCGAAGAACAGCCATCTACGCAACATTTGGGTACAGCGAATCAACAGGAAAGGTATTTACCATATTTTTTTACTTGTTATCTACACTTTCCTGACAATGATCAGGAAGGTACAGTGTGTGTACTGTCCGACGTGGCCCAAGTCATTTTACCCATATGTACAACATACCTGCGAAACACATTTTTTTTAAAAATAAAAATAGCATTCATTATTTTTGACC